CTTTAAATGAGTGAATTTTATGACATGTAAAAAAAAAGCTAAATGAAAAAAATACAAAGTTGAATGTACAGGTACTAGCAACTGAAGATGGAGAAAACAAAATGCACATTATGTTTATGTTATGGTGATATAGAATCATGGTGATTTTTTTCCCTTCCACTTTCTAAGCTATCTGTAATCTTGTGCCTCCCCACCAAAAAATACCTCAGTCTCCCTTCAGTTTGCACAGACCACTATAATTTAAAATGCAAATTAAGCAAAATCACTGTTTCCTTTTTCAAGTTACCTTTTACAAGCCTCTGTCCACTTTGTTGAGCTCAACTGAGAACAATCTAAAGAAGGAAGAATCAGATAAACAGGTTCTTATGCCATTCCCAGAAGCCAGTTTCATTTTACTGTCTTTGTCAGAAGCTGAAGCCTAGACTAGGCAAAGAAAATTTCAGCAAGGACAGTTTACATAAAGGGCAATTCCACGCTCTAATCTTAAATGTCTGTGAGTGAAGGCAAGTCACTGCTGGCAGTAGGTTAGACTTGGAAAGATTAGACATTCCCTCTCCTCTGGAAAGGGTGGCAAGAAAGGGGAGGCTGGGAAAGATCCCTATGTGTGTCTCTTTTCTGAGGTTTTGTATCCAATCTCCAACTGCAGAATCCTGAATCATTTTTCACCATAGAAAATCCTCCTCTGAGTAATAAAGAATTGTCAGTCACCACCTCTGCCGTCTGCAAACCCACTTTGAATCTATTATTGTCATCAGGAATCCCAAGCTAACTTTCCTCAAATCAAGCAAGGAGGCGTTGCCAGAAAATAAAATAAAATAAAACACTTGTGTATGTGTGTGGGAGGGGGGAGTACATTTAAGGGCACACTGCTGTCAGGTAATTTTAAGGATCTACTAACACTGGCAACAGTAACAGGGAACTACATCTGTTTCTGTTTGAGAAAAATGCTTCAGTAATATCCTGTTTCAGGAGTACTGCGTGAATTCTTGGCACACAGCCTTCCGATGTTTCAAGCATGGCTATTTTCCTTTTTTGAGATATAAGAGCCAGGGAGGAAGGGTACATCACAGGCTGACACCACAGTCTGTAAAACTAGTTTCAGTTCTCAGTGCTGCACTTCCTGCTGTCGCTGTATCCAGTACCTTTACAGACTCTTAACTGTCCTCAAACCTTGACAGTAGCACAGCTAACCTTTCACTGCTGAAGTGACCCAGCTCAGTGCCACTGCAAGGTCCACCAGCAGAGTGACTTCCACACTCAAGAAAGAACCAGAGGATGAGAGTGCAAATGGAGGAACCCTGCTGATTTCCAGGCCAAAAAAACTAAAAAGAGGAAAAAAAAGGACACCACTGCAGATACGTGAGCACAGGAAGAACACAGGTGGCTAACAGGCTCTGCCACAAAAACCTAAGAGGTTTTTGTTAAGAGGTACCTCTTTTCCCAGAACTTGTACTTTTTCAAATGAAAGGTTCTTAGAAACACGAACTTACGCTCATCCAAGGGATACACAATGGCTGTTGCCTTGAATCCAAGCCAGGGATGGAGTGAACAGATCTTGATGTTCAAGGACAGTCCACCCGAAGGTTCCTGAGTACTATGGAACTCCTGAGAAACCTGGAGAAAGAGTCTCTATTTCCCCCAGTTTTGCATTTGTCCCAAAGTTTACCCTTAACCAAATGTCCTAATCCTCAACATTTAAGTCTGCAACAAAGCTCTCAAAGTTAAACAAAAAATAAAGAAAGAAAAGAAAAAAGACAAGACATGGGGCTCCTTCTATTGGCTCCTTCAGATCTTCCTCCTACTGCTTGAGGGAACGCCCTCCAACAAGACTTCCATAGTGTCCAGGCAGAAAGAAGAGGGAAAATAGATCCTACTTGTCAGCTTCACCCAGGGATAACATGTCAGTTCTGGAGCTTAATAACTTGCTTCATGTATGACAATTACACAACCTGGGCCCAGTGGATCTGCCGACTTTCAGGCCTGCAAGTGTGAACTGTCCCTTGGCAAATGGGGAACTAGAGGGGAAAGACAATCATGTGTGCCCTCTGGCTTTCCCTCTCTGCTGTCAAGTGGTTCTGCTTCATTCTCCACAGTTCACTTGTTTGGTACTGAAATGAGGAAGAGAAGGTACCTCAATATATTTTTTTTAAGATGCTGTATTTCTCAAAAGCCCACAAATGACACCAGTAGTAACCTGGTTGTCAGAAGAACTAAGGATATGAAAAAAGGGCACAAGAAAATATTTGAAGCAAAAGCCAAGTCTTTATGTCGAAAATGGACAAGTGTGGAGGGAGTGAAACAATGTTTAGTAGCAATAAATTTGAAAGAAGTTCTAACTTTTAAGGAGCCAGGTGAATTATTACGTTTTGGAAGGGAGGGAGGGAGGGAGGGAGGGCGTGCGTGCGTGCGTGCGTGCGTGCGTGCGTGTGTGTAAGGCTGCTGCAGGAATTGCTACTGAGAGATGCACCATTACATAAGAACACGAGTTCAGGCTGGGTGCAGTGACTCACGCCTGTAATCTCAGCACTTTGGGAGGCCAAGGTGGGCAGATCACAAGGTCAGTTGTTCGAGACCAGCCTGGCTAACAAGGTGAAACCTCATCTCTACTAAAAATACAAAAATTAGCCAGGGATGGCGGCACGCACCTGCAGTCCCAGCTACTCAGGAGGCTGAGGCAGGAGTATCTCTTGAACCCAAGAGGTGGAGTTTGCAATGAGCCAAGACTGTGCCACTATACTCCAGCCTGGGTAACAGAGCAAGACACCATCTCAAACAAAACAAAACAAAACAAACACAAGTTCAATCACCACACCTCAGAAACTGGCCGGAAAACAAAGTGCTGAGGTCTCTTTATCTGCCAGCCTGCATCAGTAACACCTTATTCTACCTTTCTTCCCCTTCTATCTAACCAAATTCTGGGCTTTCAGGAGGCAGGCCTCAGTGAAAGAAGTTAAACTTGGCCATTTGACAGTGGGTTTGCTCTCAGGGTTTACAAACGGAGCACTCTGGCATTGTCCCCATCTAGGTGTAAGTGAGAATTTGTTTCATATGCCATTTCTACGACAGTATTCAAAAAATTACTTATTTTCTTAATTACTCAAAAAATCAGGACTCATACCAATATTGTCCTCTGTTTAACTCACTGGGCAGAAGTTCCTTCAGCAGTAAATGGCAACCAACGAAAGTCTAACATAAACCAAGACAAATTGACTTAAAGATTGTGAGTCCATGAGAGCTAGATTCTGACTTATTCAATGCAGAATCGGTAATACCTAGCAGAGTGCCTGGCATACATTCTGTATCACATAAATACTTGGGAGTACCAAATGAAAAAATGAACAAATGAATCTTATGCAAACGTACCATCAGTAGGTACCCTGGACAAAGAGTTTAGAATGCTCATGATCTGAGAAACAGCCCGAAGCAGCAGTGCTTTGAGAAGGTTTTAGAAAGACCCCAATTTCACTTTTACCAAAAGGTAAACAAACCAGAGACTAGTAGTTCAGAGTGTGGGCTCCACCATGAGCTACCTATGTGACATGGGCAAGTTATTTAACTTGTCTGGTTTGAGTCTCAACTAGAAGACTGGGGATAATAATATCTACGTCTAAAGTCTGTTGTTTATTAAATAAGTTCAAGAAAGTAAAGCCCTTAGCACAAAGCTTGGTACTCAGTAAGTCCTCAAGAACCTTTCCATATTATTGCTGCTTAATTAAATACCTTCTTTCCTGAGGTGCAGACATACCTCCCCAACTCTAGGAAAATTTTAATTTCTGGTTGAATATGCTTCTAGCCAAAAGTACAAAGCCCGGAGAACTCAGAAGTCAATGCCAAGCACATGTCTCTACTAGCCTCCACTTAATGGTGACAATTTGGGTGTGGAATTCCCAAAACTGAAAAAGTGTGTGTGCATAACTCCTTTGTATTTTTTACACCAGAGGAACGAAAACAGCAAGAAATGAAGTAACTACTGCGAAGGCTGGAAAGACACACTTCCCATCTCTGTAGATCAAAAAAGGGAGTAAATCCCTAGGCCTAATTGAAGCGGGTAATCTTACTGCACCTCTGAAAGAGCACACAGGAGCCCAGTTAGCAACAGCAACAAAACCCAGCATGTCGCCTGCCACCGAGAGAAAATTCTGTGGGAACAACAGCTTTAGGCCTCTGCCCAGACGCCAGCTTCCCTTTAACCAGCCCAAGACTTTTTGACGTCTCTCTGCTTCTGGGTCTTGTGGTCCCCATAACCACCTCCCCCTCTTGCTCCTAAATTCTTCCAGGGTAACTTTTCTCCACTTCAGCAGCTCCTCAGCCACGACTCCCATGCGGGAGAGTCAGATCCACGCTCACAGCTGGGGTCTCTTAACCAGGAGTGGAAAAGGAAAGTCTGTATGTACGTGCCTACTTTTTGAAAGAAAAGAGCTGGTTTCGGGGAGTTTAGCCTGGTAAAGAAGAGAAGTTTTTGAGATTAAAGAGCAGCCAAGGCGCCAGGACTCCCGAATGCTGCGGTGCGCACAGGCGAGCTCTGAGATTTCCTCAGGAAATCCACCCTCTCTAAGCCAGCCCTGCCCCAGCGCAAGCCCCGCAGCTGAGGGCAGTAATGACAGTGGCACAGAGGGCCTCTGCCTACCTCCTCTGCACCTACCGGCACGGCGTGCGGCTCTTCTGGCGCTGCCCGGGCAGTGACGCGGGACGGTGCGCCCCGGACCGCGAGTCACCAAGTTCCCGGCCGCAAACCAGCTGCCGGTCTCCCCAGCCGCGCAGCCCCCACCGCCGGCCCGCCGGCCGCTCCACGCCAGCGCCGGGCTCCCAGCGGCTCGGTTAGCGGCCGGGTTGACAGCGGGCCGGCGCGGAGAAGCACGGGGAGCCGCCGGCGCCGGTTCGGGCTCCGGCCAGCGTTCCTGCCCGGCGGTGTACGCTGGCCCCGCGCCCCTGACAGCCGGCCGGGCGCGCCGGTGGCACAATGCCGGCCCTGCCGCCCCCCGGCCACGGTGACAACTCACCCGGGAGCCGGCAGGGACCTCCGGGAGGGGGGCGCTCACTGCTTCCACGCCGCCGCTTGCGCGCGCCCGCAACCCTTTCAGGTCTAAGCGAGGCCCCGCGCGCCCTTGTCTGGCTCGCGCTGGCCGGCGCTGTGGACAGAGGAAGCGCGCGGGAGGGAGGGAAGCGGCAGGGTGGTCGCCGGCTTCGGAGACTAGAACGCGGCAGTAGCGGCGGCGGCGGCGGCAGCGCCCGCGTCACTGACCCAGCTGTACCGCGCGGGCGGGGGAGGCCCCGCGGAAGGAGGGGGCAGGGAAGGGGCGGGGCCAGGCGCGCACGCAACAGCGCGGGCGTCGCGCCGGCGTCGTGCCGGCGTCGCGCCGCAGGGACCGCCCCGCCGGGAGGCTCCGCACGCACGCGCCGCCGGCCGGGCCAGGTACCCGCGGGAGAAGCGACGCGGTGGAGGAGGGGAGGCCTTAAAGAGACGGTCTCTCTGCGCTGGATTCGATGGGGCGGTGGCACGGACCCAGCTGAACCGCGCGGGGTTTTCAGTGCGCTCTCCAGTTCGTTTACTATTATTATTAATTTGCATTACTGAATTACTATTATTTGTAAAGAATTGTACTGCCCTCAGGTTTACAAGGCTTTTGGCGCATGTTGCCTTGTTAACTCTTGAATTGCTCGTCTGACCTATCTCTGAAGCAGGTTATTATCTCCCGGTAAAGCAGTACGCCAAACCGTGGTCCCTAGCCTGCTAACATTAAAGCTGCCCGGGGTAGGGGGGAGAGTGGGTGGGGGTGAAAATGCAGATTCGGGGCCCACCCACCTCCAGCCATTGTGATTCAGTGGGGTCGGACTTGGGAGTGTGTGCTGTCACAAGCATTCCGAAGTGAGTGATCCTTCAGCATACTAAAATCACACAAGGGATCTCAAGGTTGAGAAAACCGCAGTTCAGAGCCAGGACTGGCAGAGCCCGGACTAGAACCCTGCCACATTCCTAATCGTATTTCCCCTCTAGCCTTGCCTCCGGGAGCTATTTTCTAGCTCATACTGAGTGAGCAGTTTGTGCACTGTATGGCCACATCGCTTATTGGTGATCTCTCATGCAGTGTGTCCTCAGTTTATGTGTTTACAGGGCCTGTGGCGCCTTGATTGGGAGGACTCTGGCTTTTTATCTTTGTGCCCCAGGGCCTTGCACTGTGTCTGTCTCAGACGTCCTCAATAAATGTTAAAGCACTTCTACTTGTAAATCAGTGGTAGAGTCCACATCTGGACGTACAGACTTGTGTCTTTACTGCAGCTTGTGTCTGGCGGGCCCCTACTCCCAGATGCTCTTGAACAAAAGGATACACCTTCTCAGGGCCTCTCCCCAGGCTTTCAGGAAAAGTGCTGTGAATTAACAGGGCATGTCCTTGTGAAGTAGCTTGAACCAAACAAGCAGAATGCCCCTCCCCATGCACACAGGCCCGTCCACCAAACAACCCTTCCCTTCTGGGCCCCATAGCTACCTGTGGCTTGTTGCTATAATACCTGTTGTAAGCCTATCCTTGTTCTGCCTTCTTTCTTCCTTGCCTTGATGGGTCCCAACTCACTAGAGAAGATGGGCACTCCTCCCTTCCTGCTCATTTGGGGCCGCACTGCCCAGACCACTAGAAAATTGAAGTCTGTAGCAGAGCACAACCAAATCAGTGTGGGCAGCAGGAGCACGCCAGGCAGACCCAAGGCTCAGGGAGGGGACAAGGAGAAAGGAAGCAAGGGAAAAGGATGGAGAAAGACTTGGAGAAGCCCAATGGAGAGAAAGAGAAAAAGGAAGAGGAAAGGGAAGAAAGAAAGCGTGGATAGTTCAGATTAGATCATCTGTCAAGCCAACCAAGCCCCTTGCTATTAACAGGCCCAGTGACTTCATGCAGAACTGCCACCTTATAAAATCCCTTCTGAGACCCTATGCAGATCTGTCCATCGCTGCCTAAAAATCCTCTCCCAGACCCCCTGTGTCCACAGAATGAAACCAAACTCATCAGCAGTTTCATTCTGTGGACACTGGGGGTCTGGGAGATTGTGGAGAGCAAGGACTGTAGTAGCCTGTGCTGTCCACAATCTGGACCAAATGCTCTCCATCCCTCCAAACACCCCACACTCCAGCCTCCCCATACCATCTGCTGGTCTCTAACAAGCCACTCCTGTTACATCTCACTCACAAACCAGGTGCCCTTGCTGTTTCCTCAGTCTTGAAGAACTTCTCCTTCAGAATCTTCTTACTTACCCTTCAGAGTCTTCCCAAGTTCTACTTTTCTGTGGCACTTTCATAGAGCCCCAGTTTAGCATCCATTTCCTTCTGCTTTGAATTGCCAGAATCAGGGTCAAGTCTCCTCCCTTTATAAATGCTGGCTCGCCAGCCTTTCCTGTCTGCTTTTCCCCTCCCACCTGAAGTTCCAATGGCCTCCTCTGTAGGGCTGATGAAAAGCCCCTGTTACATTCTGCTTATAGGCCTTGCTCTTCTCATCTGCAAAATGGAATGGTACTTCCTGGCCTAGGGTGAGTATCATCTTTCTGCCATTGAAAAGATCTCACAAGATGAATGTTAAGAATAATTTAGACTTAGACATTTTCAAGTGGGAGGGATGGTAGATTAATTAAAATGGTTTAAAACTTTTAAGATCTTTTTTTTTTTAATTTAACAGCTTTCTCATGCCTGTAATCCCAGCATTTTGGGAGGCCGAGGCAGTCCGATCATTTGAGGCCAGGAGTTCAAGACCAGCCTGGCCAACATGGCAAACCTCGTCTCTACTAAAAATACAAAAATTAGCCAGGCATGGTGGCACACACCTGTAATCGAGCTATGCGGAAGGCTAGTTACAAGAATTGCTTGAACCTGGGAGGCAGAGGCTGCAGTGAGCCAAGATCCTGCCGCTGCACTCCAGCCTTGGTGACAAAGCAAGCTCTGTCTAAAATAAATAAATAAATAAATAAATAATTTAACAGCTTTATTGAGATATTCACATACCACCAATTCACAGTTTAAATTTGTACATTTATTTTGTATAACTTTACAAATTGTACAAATTTGTACATGTACAATTGTAGATTTAGAGTGAACAATTCAATGGTTTTTAGTATAGTTACAGAGTTGTACAACATTTTACAACAGTTTCATGACCCTTAAAAAAACTTCTGTACCTATTAGCAGTCACTACCCATTTCCTCCCTCCCAGCCACCTTCCCTGACTCCCACCCTAGACAACCAATAATCTGCTTTCTGTCTCTATAGATTTGCCTATTATGAGTGCTTCCTATAAATGGAATAATACAAATATGTGGTGTTTATAATTGATTTTTTGCTTCCTCCACCTAACATAATGAATTTTAAACCAGAGTTAATTTTTTATTTTCACTTTTTAATTCAGACCCTTTCTTATTCTAAAAGGACTTAAGATGGCTCTTTGAGCTAATATTCCTGGGTCCTTCCAGATTTCCAACACAAATCCTTTTTTTTTTTTTTTTTGAGACGGAGTCTCGCCCTGTGGCCCAGACTAGATGGAGTGCAATGGTGCAATCTCGGCTCGCTGCAACCTCCGCCTCCTGGTTTCAGGTGATTCTCCTGCCTCAGTCTCCTAAGTAGCTGGGATTACAGGCGCCCGCCACCACACCCAGCTAAGTTTTGTATTTTTAGTAGGGACGGGTTTTCACTGTGTTGGCCAGGCTGGTCTCAAACTCCTGACCTCAGTGATCAGCCTGCTTCTGCCTCCCAAAGTGCAGGGATTACAGGCATGAGCAACCGCACCTGGCTGATTTCCAGCACAAATCTTAATACTCTACTCTAAATCTAGGTGTCAGAAAATGGCATGGGGGTTAGATTAGTCCCAGTTGGTGGTGAGTAGAATAGCCAACCATCCCAGTTTGCCTGGGACTAAGGGGGTTCCTGGCATATGGGACTTCCAATGCCAGAATTAGGTCAGTCCTGGGCCAACCAGGATGAGGTAGTCACTCCTGTGATAAGAGTCAGGAGGCATGGTATTCCCTTCATCTCCCAGGAATCTAACAAAGAGTGTGTGTCTTTACTACTTGCAGAGCAGGGCAGAGGAGTTTGGCTCTCTGAAAGTAAGAGAAAAGGTTCAGAATAAGTACATGGAATCTCAGCTGCTATGGTTATTACATATAATAGTAGTAATGACAGCTACTATTTACAAATCACCTACTATGTGTCAGGTGGTTGGTAGGGACTTTATACATGTAACCTCTAATTCTGGCAACAGTCCGCCAAGTTAATTATCATTAACACCATTTTACAAGCAAGGCTCAGAGAGATTTTTTTTGACATATCAAAACCACATAGTATGTATGTTGCAAAACCAGAATTCATTCTTGTTTGTCTGTCCAAAGGTCACACATTTCCAAATAAACCATGTGGCTCCTCCCACCCCTCCCCCCAATAAAAATAGCAAGTAAAGACTGAAATTGTCCTCATATATCTCTTGCTTTTTAAAAAAGTGCTTTTTTGCATACCATCTCCTTTTATCCTTACAACATCCCCATAAAATGAAGAGACATTATTGTCCCCAATTTTACCTCTAAGGAAGTTGAGGCACCGAGAGGTCAGTAGCTTATCTCTATAGAAATTAGCTGAGTTTCATGTTTTGATTCAAGATTCCTTGGGCAGCCTTCATAAGCCCTGTGAAAGTAAACCCATTTGACCCCAGGGGAGGTGGAAGTATTGTGGCCACACTCACTGCAGAATGTCAGGGTCCAAAATGGGTGGGTTTTGCAGGCCTAGGCCAGCAGGAGCTGAGAATCAACTCCCACTCCAGAGGAGGAAGATCTGGGTTCAGGTGGTTGTCTGAATTTGGGATCCTTCACCATCACCAGGGCAACCCTTCTTGGAGCTTGTCAGGAGCCTGTGAGAGCCAGGCTCGGTGATGCAATCCATGCTGGCCACTGGTTGGAGGGGGCTTTGTAGAGGTCAGAGTTCAGGGCTTAGATCTATCACAGCAGCAGCTATGATTCCCTGTCCACCCTAACTCTGACCCTAGCCCTAGAAAATGTGCACTTGAAGCTGCCCAATTAGCAGGTACATATCAGAGGGCAACTGAGCCCCACCTGCTTTTCTGAAGCATTGAAAAATCTTTGACAACATTCCTTCCCTAACACAGGTTGGGTAAGCTGGTAAAAGTGTTGGCCCCATTTTTCACACAAGGAAAAGCCAAGGTAGAAAGGGAGCATCCACCTGCTGTGTCCCCAGATGGTATCCCAGTGGAAGATGAATGAATACCAGATTC